TAAAATATGGTGAAAATGCACTGTTTATCACACTAGTGTGCCTTAAAATGTAAGCAGGAAGTTTGTTTTGAAAAGCTTTTATCTTGTAAATGGAACAAAGTCACACTTGTGGTGTTCCTGGTAAAAAAAACTAAACTTCCTGTTTAAACATTAAAGCACACTAGTGTAATAAACAGTACATTTCCCCCCATATTTTACTGAGTATTAACAAAAGAATGTTTATTTAATGGTTAAAATCTTCTCACCCGATTAATTGTTTTGGTTTTCTCACGATGTGGGGCATGCTTCAGGGTCATGGCAATCATCTCCTCCACACTCTGTGATTTGTGGTGTGGGTACACCTTACTGCAGGCGCCTTCAAATAATCATTATTAGATCACAGTAATTAGAACTAGAACACGTATAGAAAGTACCATCTCTGAAGTATTAAAAACGTTTTCAAAACAGACTATTGCAACTCTGAATATTTAAATACTGAGAACACCTGAAACATGTGAACAACAGTATGCACATGTAATCAAAGAGATTCTGTCACATTCCAGTGCACTTTTTGTAACCTTAGAGACAGACAGGTTGTCATGAGTAAAGATTTAACGCTTGCGTATTATCACATCATTAGTTAGAAGTTTCTGAAATGGTTCGTTTTCCTTTTCTCCCTTTGTAGCTGTACTCTGCCCATAGGGAATTTTCTCCGATTTTATGCAGCATTCTCCTTATGCCGTCCCCCAAACTGCCTCCTCTCTGAAGACAAAGATATCGCATCTACAGACAACAACAACAGCAATCAGTTATTAAAGCACAGTGCATAGCATAATGTAAAACAACATAGTATGACTTTCGAAAGTCAACAACTTTCGGCTTTTTGCACATTCATCCACTGTCTTGCAAGGCTCCTCTAGCACCTCAGTTAGGTCAGAGGCAGATTGCTGGATTGCTCCAAGTGCTGTCTTTATATCAGCATGCATTTGATCCAGTTTTAAGAGTATTCTCCTCTCCAAACCCTCAAATAACTTACAGATTTCTGTGAAAATATGTTGCCAAATATCAATTACATTACTAACAATAGCAATAAAAGATATAGCTGCAAGAAGCAATGGTAACACTTTACAATAACAGTGCATGAATAACAATGTACTAATACCTAAATTAAATTTTACTAATATTACTTGGCTTACTTTCAAATATTACTTTATTATGAACTAATGATGAGTTAAGGCATGTACTATTCAAGAAGTAACCTTAACTTGGTCAGCGGGTGCTGGTTTTTGAGAATTTTAAAAACCATATTGTTCTGTGATCTGTAATTTAGGTATTAGTACATGATTATTCATATATACTGTATACACACACACACACACAGAAGGAACTGTAAACAAGAATATCCATTACAAAACAGTTTGCACAGACTAGTTGGCTATTCAATTAGTTAACACATTTGATCTGTGCCATGGATCAAATGAAAATTAATTACCCACCTATTTTCTATAGCCACCTGAAGAACATGTTATCAGCTAGAGCTTTTGTTTTCAAAAAAGTGTCTTATTCTCTTATGCTGAGCAAGACTGTATTTATTGGTGACTTTTTTTCTTAGCATGCAGTAATAACCACTGATGACTTAAACTGTTTACTTAAGAGTCATGCAGTTTTATACAAGGAATCAGTAGCGTCTGGAGCGCCCACGCAGTCGGTCATGCTTCTCTCTTTCACAGCACAAACTCCGTCTCCCCAGAGGATTATGGGAAATGCATTCTTAACGCTGAACAATAAATAGCATTATATACTGATTCTGTTGTTATTACTGAAGACAATTAAACATTCATGACTATTGTAAATATTTATTTGTTCAGAAAAAAGTCAAACTGTAATGTTGTGAAATATTATTACAATTTAAAATAACAGGTTTCTATTTAATATATTTAAAATGTCATTTATTTCTGTGATGGTAAAACTTCATTCCTCCAGTCTTCAGCGTCACATGATCTTCAGAAATCATTCTGATATGCTGATTTGCTGCTCGAGAAACATTCCTGATGATTATCAACGTTGAAAACAATTCATGACCCCAAACGTCTGTAACTAAGTTACTGAATTATAAAACAAAAACGTACTCACAAGAAGGAGCACTGGGCAACATCAAACTAGAGCCTTTTGATGTTTTTCTCTTTGGCTGCAGCTCCTCATCTAACGCAGGAAAATACTTGAGTAAAAAATATATCACATCAATTAAAAGCTATGAAAACTAAAATAACAGTGGCCTTACCTTCATCATTGTCCTACAATATTGATATTTGAATATAGATGTTTTGAGAGCTGATCTGATACGGTCAGGGTTATTATGTCAGCACCATCTCTGGTGTTAACTTCATATTTATTCGACCTGTCAAAGAGAGTTCTTGCAGTTTGTGGGAGGTCTGCATGGACATGTCTTTTGAGGATGGTTAGGAGAGCATCAACGGCATTGTGTTTTACATGAAACACGCTGGCCCATTCTGACAGTTCTTCCTTAAGCATGGGTGTCATATCTTCTTCACTTTCAGAACTTGTCAGGGCTGTGTCAGACACCATGTTGATGTCCTCCTCCTCAATGTGCTGGTTGAGGCTAAAGCCCTCACTTCCAGCAGTACTGCCCACCTCAAATGAGGTGTTGGTTTCCCTGGTGGCTGCAATCTTTCGTGTCATATTGCCTTTTACGCTCTTTGGATGTCATCCAGTTACTGTACTGGCGTCTCTGTCAAAAGGTGAAACACTTATTTTCCAATAAATTACTACTGAATCCTTTTCTTTAAGAATGAAAATGGTTCCTACTTTTTTGCCACGCTCTTGCAAGAAATGTATGTTTTCTATACCACCACCATCAAACATAAAATTGAACTTACCTTTTTGGAGGACATAACTGCCAGATTGGTCTAAAAAACAAACAAACAAATAAACAAAAGTTAATGATGCACATCTATAGCAGTGGCAAAATAAACCACTGCTGAATTAGTCAGTTCATTATTATTTTAAATACAATTTGTATTATTTAAATAACTAAAAAATGTATGTGATGCACTGCAAAATATGCAAGACAAGTGCAAATTTCAAAGTCCATCTACCATGTTTACATAGAAAAACAATAGTGAACGGCACCTTAACGTGAGGTCTCAACCCTCTACGCACACCTTGGCAATATAATCGCCATTGGCTAGTACATTTTTTTGTTTACTAGCCAGACTGATATACTATTTTACACACACACACACACACACACACATATGTTTACTTAGCTATCTAAATGGGGACATTACATAGACTTCTTACACCCGTCTTGCTGTAGTCCATATTAATAGTAAACCAGCCTGTAAAATCTACACAGTGAACGCCAAACTACGCAATCACAATACAACTACTATTAGCGGAAGTGCTTTATGGAAATATGACACATTATAGTTCGAAAATGGCGGCGCCCGTGCTTACGTAAAAATAAGGTGGATAGGGCACCTCAGTTGTGGGTATTGAGGGTGGATACAACTCCTGCCGTATCTGGGAATCAAACCTGCAACCTTTGAGTTACAAGTCCAACTCTCTACGTTGTGGCCTCGAGGTGATGACATCACCACTGTCTTGATGCCTCTGTGACGAGTCGAGCAGTTCACGGTGCTTGTATACTTGTTTAATGGTCATTTATGTTTTTTTTCAGGTACAGGACTATTTATGCATCTTTTCTGGTGTTTGCGGAAAGAAATGGACATTTAGCAACAAATGGCATTTAGGACATTTAGGCAACGATGCATATATGTTAAAATCTTGAAGACCTGGGTTTTTTCTTCGTTCGAGCAATTATGTTATTGTTATTGAATGTCACTTGTCAAAGTTCAAACATGAAAGTGAGAGGAATTCTTGAGATGGATCTCAAGTGCTGACAATTTTATTCTACTGATTATTCATATTTTGACATTTATCTGTATGACCATTAGGATGAGATTTTATGATCAGTGCCACACTGTAAAAAATAAAAAGTTGAGAAAACCAGCTTCAGCAGATTTTTTAGTTTTCTCAACTTGTTTTCAGTTTATACAACAAAAAGTTGAGAGAACTCAAAAATCGTCTGAAGCTGGTTTTCTCAACTTTTTATTTTGTACAGTGCAGTTTGTTTCTCATCGCCAGTAACGTGAATGATGCAATTCCTTTATTGTTGTGTACATATTAGAAAACCAAACTACTGCAGAACTGTCATTTTCTGCCAGGTAGGCACAATGCGTGTCTTTGCTGTTTGCAAACACCCAAATGATATATATTGAAAAATTTTCAATTCACATTTATTTGTATAGCACTTTTCACAATACATAAAATGTAAAAGTGGGTTTACAGAAAATGCATGATTCTGTCTTACAATCAGGAGAAGGCTGTTATCCGTCATTGGTGATTGTCAAATATAATAAAGAACATCCAATATTGAGAGGGATGTATCTGAATACTTAATTATGTGAGTTTATATCAGTTACTTTAACACCCCGTCAGCCTGCGCCATCTAGAGTATCATGACTGAACTATATATTCTATTATACATCTACCACATTAATCATCGCAATTACAATATCAAGGGAAATATTCGACATTGATATTTATCATAATCATGCAGATGTTAGAGGTGTTATCATTACTCATTATCACACCACAATACAACATTAGCCTAATTGTCAAAATCAACAAACTTTAATTGGCTTTTCTCCAGTTTGGTGCCATTTCAGCGTATCATCTGTCTTGATACAATCAAAAAACACAATTCTTCACACACTGTCTTTTCTGGTGTAATTTTTTAATTTTAAACAAGTTCCTGTTTAAAGGCTTTCCCTTTGTATAATCGTTCAGGTGGTTCTTCAGGGATAATGGCCAAAGAAAGTTTTAACTGTACTGATGACCATTAAATAGTCTTTCTTCACAATGAAAAAGCAGATTTAAGTGTCTCTGTTGTGGATTTTTAGCGTTCCTTAATGTGTCTGAAACTCTTCCCACGCTGATCACATGTGAGGCTTTTCTCCAGCGTGAATCTTCTCCTCGTGTCTTTTCATACGTCCTGACTGACTGAATCTCTGGTCACAGTGTGAACACTTGTAAGGTTTCTCTCCAGTGTGAACTCTCTGGTGCTGTCTCAGTTCAGCATCTCTAACAAAGGTCTTCCCACAATCAAAGCACATGTGATCCTTCACACCAGTGTGTCTTTTCTGGTGCAATTTTAAAGTACTCAGCTGATTAAAACTCTTTCCACAGAAAGAACACATGTGAGGCTTCTCCTTTGTATGAACATGCAGGTGCCTCTTTAAGGATGATGCTGAAACACACATTTGTCCGCACTGATCACAGTAAAATGGTCTTTCTCCAGAGTGAGAACGCAGATGTAATTGAAGACTGAAGGCACATGTGAAACTCTTCTCGCATTGATCACATGGGTACGGCTTCTCTCCAGTGTGGATTTTTATGTGTTGTCTCAGAGCTACTTTTTGTCTGAAACTCTTGCCGCACTGATCACACGTGTGTGGTTTCTCTCCAGTGTGGATTCTCATGTGTACCTTAAGGTTTCCTTTTAGTGCAAAACTCTTCTCGCACTGATCACATGTGTGCGGTTTCTCTCCAGTATGGATTACCATGTGTCGTTCAAGTATTGCTTTTGTTGCAAAACCGTTCCCACATTGATCACATGTGTGTGGCTTCTCTCCAGTGTGGATTCTCATGTGATCTTTAAGGGCTCCTTTATCTGCGTAACTCTTCCCGCACTGATCACACGTGTGCGGCTTCTCTCCAGTGTGGATTGTCATGTGTACCTTAAGGTTTCCTTTTTGTCTGAAACTCTTCCCGCATTGATCACATGCGAAAGGCTTCTCTCCAGTGTGGATTGTCATGTGTTTCTTAAGCTGATCTTTTAGTGCAAAACTCTTCCCACACTGATCACATGTGTGTGGCTTTTCTCCAGTGTGGGATATCATGTGTATCGTAAGATTACCTTTATGTGTGAAACTCTTCCCGCACTGATCACATGAGTACGGCTTCTCTCCAGTGTGGATTCTCATGTGAATTTTAAGACTTCGTTTGAATGGGAAACTCTTCGCACATTGAGGGCAGGTTACAGATTTTTTGGCTTTTCTTGTCCATAATAAATTACTCTCATTACGTGAGGAAGCTGATGATTTTTCTGCAGTTTTGACATCATGTTGTTTCTCTTCCGCTTCACTCAGTTCTTCACTCTCCTCGCTCTCCTCCATCAGGTCTAAAATGAAAGAAAAAAATATATGTAACTTTTGGCACTCATCTTGCAGAAGAACATTGTAGCCGGAGCTACTTCTCTCTGTTTATGTAGATGACGAGCAGTGTCGGGAAGGTTACTTTGGAAATGTAATGTTACAGATTACAAGTTACCTTACTTAAAATGTAATAAGTAGTGTAACTATTCCAATTAGTTTTTGATTACTTTTCTAAATTTCTAATGAATGTTTTCAACTGTTAATCATTTTGAAACACTTGAACCAGGGGTTAACCTTACAATAGTACCCAACACTGATGACTTACAAAATCCTTCATCACTTGAATAAAGATTATAATCATTTAATTTTAAACCACAGCCACCACAAAATCAGACTTCAGCACCTCTTTTTTACTTTGAGATCATTCTGAGGTGAAATACAGATTTAAAATCATCACGAAATAGTTTAATAGCTATGATACTGTTTTTGATATCAAATCTTTGCATAGCTATGACAGGAAACACTGGCATTCCACACTTTCAGTGGAGATGTGGATTGATGTAATTGTCAGACGTGGTGCGCTGCTAATTCAAATAAAGGAACCAATCAAAAGCATCAGAAGAGCATCGCTTTACTAATTGGCCTTCAAATGGCAGGAGGCATCGTGCACATCAAAAAACAGGCAAAGCAACAAATTAATATTATTCAACATACCTAGCTTTTTACAGAAAATATTCAGATGTAACTCCCTTTGTATTTGTTACCATTTTCATAAGTAACTGTAATTATTATTATTATTTTAACAGATTACTGCGGAAGCCCTGAATCGCAACGTGAAAAATAAAATTCAATATGGGGAAAAAAATTAAAGTAGTGTCTTAGATCCTTCCTGAGCCTCAGGCCCCGTCTACACTAGTGCGTTTTCGTTTTAAAACGGCGTTTTAGAATGAAAACGATCCCCGTTTACACTGGCGTTTCAGAAACGATCTCCGTTTACACTACACGACCGAAAACGCATGTCACGTGGCCATTCATGCAGGTACAACGTCTCAGGTTACTTGTGTAACCATGGTTCCCTGAGTAGGGAACGAGACACTGTGTCCTCTAGGGGTCGCTATGGGGAACGCCTCGTCGTGATCCGTGTCTGAAGCATACATTGAAAAAACACCAACAACACGTTGGCCGGTGACAGCCCATGACGTCACTACCGGTGCGACTATA